TTTTGTTTCTGCTACACGAGATCCTGAACCCTGATACTGTCCTATGAGGAGTAAATAGATGGCAGCAGTTTGGGGTGGACTGGGATTTCTGAAATATTTTGTTTGCAACAGATGCAGATATGTACTTACTGGAATTAGAAAAGGTGTAGAATATCTTTAGAAGTCTATCCAATAGGGAAAATTTATTATGGTAATGAACTGTGCTATTTTAGAGCTTATTTTTATAATAACATTGCCTTACATTAATTAGCATAGTTCAAATGGGACTGTTATACTATGTCAAAAGCTGCGTATCTCTGAGATGTAACATTCCACTCATGACCATATTCCATATGCACAGGTCGGTGCTTTTAAATTAAATTAAACTGTATGAATAGTCATCAGAATAAAATAAATTTACACCAGTCACACTCAGAATTATTGTCTTTAGGTGCTGAAGGATGTACAGTGATGGAAAAATATGCATTGTTCAGTGCTTTGTTTAACGTATTTGCTTTTTCTCTCACAGTACAGTGCTGTGGATACAAATCCTTTATCTGTGTATATTATGCAACCCATCTGGAATGAAATTATTAAGGTAAGGGTTTTATTTAACAAAGATATCACATGATAATGTAAGAATTTGTTTTAAATGCAAGTATTTTAATTTAAAATACTTATTAATTAGTAAAGCTGAAATTAAGATAACTATAAAACTCCAAGTGTTACAGGATATGTAGCTATATTTAAGATAGGTATGTTTGGATTTTAAGGGCTTTTTTTTCGGAAAAACAAGGTTTATTTGGTTTCTTTCTGATCACTATACAAAAGGCATCTGTGTCTCTTTTACATCTCTCATTATTACATCTTTCATTAAACAGCTTTGCAGACATTGAAGGGTTTACTTAGTGCAAATTATTTTTCTGCAGCATATGCTGCCTAACAACAGCATGGCTTTATCTCTGTGCTGTGCACATGATTTTATGCAAGTGCTGTCTCATTTTCTCCCAAGGGTACTTGCTCGAGGGAGCTAAGCATTTCTCTGAGAAGCTGAATATGAGAGCAGTTACCATGATCACCGTAATGATTGGAAGATGGCATCTCTTGAATGCATTATGATCTGCAGTTTTTAAAAATAAAACCGCTCTCAATTACTTTTGCTGTTGTTGGCAAAAAAAAAATAATCTGTATCTCAAATAAATATGAACTTGTGATCTCCAAGGAAGCAATGATTTCTGCCTCTCCCTCTTTAGATTGGAGCAGACTTGAAAACAAACCTTTATGCAAACAAAAAAGGATGTATTCAGTCAGAGTGCTATTGGATCTGCCACGTTTGGGTTCTATAATTCAGGTATTACTTATGCTTGATGTAGCAGGAAAATCATAATGTCTCATTTGTAACCGCAATATATTTTCATGAAAGTGTTTATATGACCTAACTTCAGAATTAAAAAGCAAATTGAACATGGTATGAGGGAAAAGCAATTCAAAGATGTGAAACTGAATTCAGTATTTCAGTTGAGAGACTCAGTTTCCATTCCCATCACAGTATCAAGGAAAACAAGGGAGAGGGAAAGCTCCCCTAGCTCTCTGGAGTCCTGTGCAGGAGATGAGCAGAGGCTTCACTGTGCACTTGCACTTTGGTTTAGGAGATCCATGGGTGTTCATCTGCTATCAGACTGAAGGGCAAGTATTGTCAGTGAAAAACTTCCTTTGGAGATGAGTTCTTCTCATGTGTTTTTTCCCTAATGATTTTTTTAAAACCTCCTTAAATTTTAGCTGAGCATGATTTTGTTCACTTCTTGCTGGAGGAGAAACCAAAGCAAAGCACAGGACTGAAACCTGTTTCAAAATCTGGGAGCTCTTAGTACAGAACCAAAGACCGGAATGGCATGCTCTGTACTTTGGCATTACTTTTTGGCATTTGGTTTGGTTTGAACCCTGAAGACAAGGCAATGAATGTTCTGCTTTGTCTTCTGGTGCAAGAGCATCACAGGGTAATTCTCAATGATCATAAGAAATTAAAGGGAAATTGTATTGCTCTCAGCTTTTGTAGAAGGAGGCATTCTAATGTTAAAGATACTGCCAGGTCAAACCAGAGTCCTGCAGGTGAGCTGGGAATGCACAGCTGCAGAAGAGAAAGCAAAAGGCAATGGAGATTGCACTGGAGTCCTCTTGGTTGCACCTAGACATAAAAATGAGAACTAAGGGAGCACCAAACTTATTGGCCAAAATCCAACTGTTTGTAAAATATTAGTAGGAACTCAAGCTGCTAGAATGGTTGTGTTCCTGGTTATGTGCTGAAACCAGATGTGGCAGTAACTGTTGTCCCAAACTCAGTCCAAGACAATTCTGCTCATCTGTTCACCAAAAAATATTTTTTTTTCATTTTAAATGTCACTTAAATAGTGGTTTCATAAAAAATATGACCAAAACTTATTTTTAGAAGGAAAAACCTTGAATGCATTTACTAATCATGGGATGGTTTTTTTTGTAGCTTTAACCTGTTATACCAGCTTTTACCTGCATTATAATTGGGCTATAAGCATGATCTAGAATAAAATATTCAGTGATGTAGCATATAATATTGAATTTACATTACTCAGTTTACCATCTTATTTTTATTTAAATATAACAGTGCATTGCAATAGGAAGATCTGGCAAAACCAGGATAAAGTTTTAAGAAGCAGAAACATTGCATCTAACCTGTTAATGCAAAATTGGGCAGTGGAAGTGTGCTTCTTGGTGACTGGGAAAAGTAATTTCTCTCAGTTCAGACCTCCTAATACATCTGTTTGCTTAAGATGGCAGACAGATATGAATCAATAATCTCTTACCTTCTGATCTGGTGAAAATAAACATTCCACATGGACTATTTTGAACAGATTTTAGAGGAGTTTAAAAAAAAACAACAAAACCACACCAAATGTCATGGAGCCAAGCAAAAGAAAAAGCCCTATGGGAACAGAGGCTTGGGATTTAGGTGTGGCCTTTCATCTGTCAATTTAGTCAAGTTTTTCTGTATTCCATAACACAGAATTCATTGTAAGATGTGTTTCTTACATTATGAGAAATTAAGGAGAGCCTGACGTTAAAAAAGATGTGGAAATTTATGAGCTAGGATGTTGACATATGTAAGAACTAGAAACATGTTGTCATAACCCAGCTCGTTTATCTGTGATGAGGATGTTAGGAAAGCAAAGAATTTGTGCATTTAAGTTAGAAATTCACCTGGAAATCCTGAGCATTGCATTCCTCTCTTTCCTCTTCCTCTTTCTTTTGTACTGTGTCATGTGCCTCTGTCAGTTTGTGTGTGATTTTTGGATGTATGTGCTTCAGAAATGTGTTGAAGCTGATGCTAAACGAGAAAGGAAAGAGTAACTTTTCATGCCTGGATTCTATAATGGGCTTGAAGTACTCTGCGATACTCCTGTCTGTGACAGCTTTTCCCCATTGGTTGAAACTATAACAACACCTCTATGAAAGTACAGGAGATCAATTAACTTTCTCTACATGTTATTTAAAACTATTCTGATTATGCAACTATAGGTATTTCTTCTTAAATAATTAATTCAATGCTCTGTCCTTTTGCCTTTAGTTAAGGTTTGTATTTTTTAATAAAGCACGATCATATGCTATCTGACAGATAATGGATAGTATTAATTTCCTACTTCATAAACTGAATCTTTCTCCTTTATTTGTATGCAAGAGAAATCACATTTGTGCAGGACAATGAGAGGAAAAGGAGGAAATCCCACTGGGATACACAGGTCTATGCCAGCTCCACTGAAGTCAGTTAAACCGCCCCCCCAGTTGCCTTTATGAACTTTGATTTTACCACTAGAATTGGACATGAGTAGAATTTTAGTGGTCTCAAGTGATTTAGTTGAGGAATATTTCAAGTTTGAACAGAGCTTTATAGAAATACATACACTTTACTATTGATTATCTGAACAGACAGTTGATTATTAAAACATTTGCTGTTTGTATTAAGGCTTTTAGAATGAACGGCTGTAGACTCATTAAAACAGAAATCAGTATTTTGTGAAACTAAAATTTTTTTTAAAAGTTCAAGTTTACTATTATTTTACCAGAGAGCGGATGTGATTCTCCTCAGTGGCACCTCCAGTTGTATTAATTGTGTAGTGCATTGATGTATCAGAGTTCTGCTGGATAATAAAGTTTGCAACATATCTTTCTATAGGATACTGGTAAAGTCAGGCTGTGTTTTTCCAACACGTTTAAGGAGTTAATCTTTAACACCCTGTAATTTTTGAACTGTGAAATAAGGTGATGGTAGCGTAATGTCAACCAAAAGAATAAGGGGCATTAAATACAACAAAAAGGATTTTGCAGCTGGAATAGTTTCCAAGTACCTAGACAGATTAGGTTTGGTGAGGATCAAAAGGATGTGCTTAGGGGTTTAACTGCAGGAGAGGCTGTTTTCCTGAGGATAGGTCTCCTCTAACTGTTTTTCACGGTGTGTCTACTAGCTAAAAGGATTTCAAGTATAGCAACATGCTTAGATGGTTTCCGTCTTAAAATATATGATGTTAGCAAAAAGTGGGTTAAAATAATGGCTTCATGTTTTCACTGTATAAGCATAAATTATTTCCTGTAATAACTTAATAATGACATTGTGACTATTTAGAATGATGAACGTAATTAGCAAGCAGACATTTACGGCACCCCACTTTATTTAATAATCAACAATTATTATGAATCATACAGGAGAAATGTCAGTCATTTTGAAACAATACACTGGATGGCATCTGTGTATCCATGTAAATGGTTCATCCACAGGTTGTCTTAATGCACTACTTTGATCTATATTTTACATTAAAAGAGACCAGTCCAGAATTTCTTCAGCATCTGTCCTTCTTACTTCATGTAAGGTCAGAGACATCCAATAAATCCCACAGCGTTTGGTTCATACCAAGTCTCCATCTTACGAGGTTTCTGCATCCCCAGGTAGCAAGATGAGGAGATGCACTGCTGTGTCTGCACGCTGAGCCTGCGCTCAGGGTCACAAGAGGGGACCATGCAGTGCAGGGCTCCTCCACAGATGCTCTCCCAAAGGAGCTTCAGGGAACGTTTGCTGTCACTTGTTCTTAGGGATTTAGAATTGGAGTTTTGAAAACTTGGAATGATAGATTTTTTTTTTTTAACTCTAGCTGTATGCATTCCATGATGAATTTTAAATACTGTAAAAGCTGACATGCGGTATTTTAAAATTAGTGATAAAATCCTGGTCATAAGGAAAGCAATGATCAGAATTAATATTTTCCCCTATGTTATTAAAGAAAACATCTAAGAAATAGAACTGCAAGTTATTCAGGAATTTTCATCTGATTTTTGGAAATTTACACTGTAACCTATCAGATGCGTAATTTCTTCTGAATATTATTAATTGTTCTCTAGTAGAAAAAGAGGATAATTAATCGGGATAATTATTCAGTCCAAGCATTCAAATTCTGTGTGCAAATTTTTCATGCAGTAATAGGATAGAGGAAAAGTGAAGATATAAATATATAAATATATAAATGAGTATGTATTCTTCTGTCTGTCCATCTAGCTAGTCCATAGAAATTAACAAAATATTTAATTTCAAAACTATTACTAGTATCTGAAATGATTCAACTTCTTTTCTTTTAATATTGTTTTGTAATATTATATATTGTCAAAGTACTTTACATACATTTTCACTCCTTTGACTTCAAAGGATTTGATTATAAGCCTCCAATATTTTTATATTTTGAATATATTGATACTCTGTTGGAGTGACAGTAGTGGTGGATACTTGGTCTTTCTGCAAATATATTCTGTCTAAAAATAATGTAGAAAGCTGTGTGTGTTATTTCAGAAAATATTTTGGAGAAACTATGTGACTTGGGAAGTGTTATCAGAAAGGGTCCCTGTTGCGGTGTAAGGAATACCTTAAAGCCCCAGGGGATGAACAGCTGAGAATGGTTAATGGGGCAAAGAATTAGAGGCTTAGGTGAAGAGGGGGAGTCCTTTCCAGCACTCTGCAAAGTAAAAATGATTTCATGAAGTGTTTATAATTCATGGCTAAAGAGGGAGATCCTGCAGAAAGTTACTGTCTAGTGAAGTAGGGAGCTGCTTGTAACAGGGAGATCTTCTGAATCTAAAAGTGTAATGCACTCAGTGTCTGATTTTGCTGGTGTTTTGAGTTGGAAGTTATTGACACACTTTAGAAGAGGAAATTTCCTTGTTCTAGTATAGGAACAGAATGCTTAGAAAACCCCTGCTATGTGGACGCTGAATTACCACACTGGGGTGCTGCAGTCCTCTTTCAGTAGTGGTACACAAAATCAAAAAGCTTCCTTGGTGGCTGAGAAAATAAGGATAGTATATAACATATGAAATACGACATATTTTAAAATTACATTTTTACTGCAGTCACAAAGGTCAGGCAAAAGGATTACATTTTAAAATCAATTTCAGAATTGTATTTTAATTTGTATTTTAATTTGAAAATGGGGAAATATGCACAAATCTGAACATCACTGATGTCATATACAGACTTCTCCTTTCCTGATTTAAAAATATAAAATATCCCATTTAAATAGGGGTTATAATTTGAAAAATGATTTTTTCTTAGATTTTTCTTTCCTTTTTTTTTTTTTTAACAGATAGTGCCTTTGTGGATTGCTCCCAACCTGTTAACCTTCTCTGGATTTGTCATGATTTTAGTTAATTATTTTCTAATATCTTTTTATGACTGGGACTACACTGCCTCAGGTAAATATCCTCATGTTGTAATTTTTTGGAATTACAGAGTTGTTTTGTCATACTTCTGAATGATACAGGGAGGTATTGAACACTTGAATTTTCCACTCATTCCCTTAATGAGGGTCCTTGTTCATATAGGAGGATCTGACTTCACACATTACATATAAATTTAGATAATTTTGTTGGAAGAGATTATTTAATTTCATCCCTAAATACACTTTTCAGCACATGCTGCTTGAAGGCTATGATAATATCTCATGTTATTTAAAGTGTGTGCCAGGGTTTAAATATGCAGCAAAAAAACACCCTTATGTTCTTCATAAGATTTTCATTGGTTTCACATTTCCTAATACCAAAATCCGTGCCTGAATGAGTTAATTCCCCTTTCATTGCTCCATACCTCCTCATTCAAGATGCTTGTAGACAAAGAAGAAACAGTTTTTAAACAAACATCTCTTGAAATTATGACTTTCAAAGTCCAAGTCCACACTGCTCCTCGTGACAGACAAAGTGAAAAGCTTTTTGGAGCTGATTGCTCCTGAGCATGGGGCATGTTCAGTTCTGGACTTCTCAGACCAGCTGTTGAAGCCTGCAGAAAGTAGTAAGCATCTCTCAGGTGATTAATAGATTAAAAAACTTCGCTTTTCTTTAAACTAGACAATTCGGTAACGACTTAAAACTTTTATTTCCTGAAACAATTACATTTGGTATTTTCTTCTACTTTCAATTTCTTCTGCCTGCAGTTAGATTCAGGAGGTACTCTTGGGCATGAGCTGTTTGTACAACAAATTCTAGAAGCGGGAATATTTGTTAGCAGTTTTGGTTCAGAAATAATTCTGTATGAGCATTAAGTTTTCAGGACCAGCATGTTATTTAGTTATCCAGCCTCATCCTTAAACACTTGGGTTTTTATCAATGCAGCTGATATTTTCTAAGTTCTGTAATAAAAGAGCATTCAGCACAGATCTTTTAATGAGATCATTTTATCTTGACACATTTCCAGTAAATAAACACTGAACTTGAAGACATTTGAAATGGTGATTGTCTGTTAGTGTTGAGATTTCTGCGTGCAAGCCTCTTCTCGATTTCAGACAAGAGTGCCCATCACTTTATAACTGATTGAAAACGTTCGTGCAACCTAATGAGCCTTTTGAGTATCATATATCAATCCCATACCTAGGATCAGAAATAAAAGACTTAATTTCCTGGACAGCTGGTTTTCATTCTACAGATTGAAAATTTGCAGCTAGGAGTCAGGAATCACCATCTTTTCTTGCAGAGTGGCAGGGTGAGGCACTGAGAGAAAGGTGGTCAGGGCCCTGCTTTAGGTGCTGACAGCTCCTTGTTCAGCAAGGACACATCTCTGTGTGGAAGTACTCCCCGTGTTCAGTGCTGAATGCCCGAAACCCGCACTTTCAGTCGTTTAGTGCTGGTGTAGTCCTTATTGGGTTATGTTTAAGTTAAATCGAACACTCTTTGGAAAAAATAATTGATTTCTTTAAAAGAAAAACAATAACTGTGGGTTATTGCCATCAGCAGAGCAATAACAGAACCCTGGGTTCTGTCCACTTTAGCTTGCTTTTCCCTTTATTCAAGGAAAAAAAAGGGAGCTAGTATCTGTCCTAGCCTAAGGACAAAAATTTCCTGTTCAGGTCTATGTGGTAAAAGTGCTATACAAATTCTGCATTGGTGCTAATAATAGTTATTATGCTTGAAAACATTTTTTTTGTCTTTAGATATTACATAAACATTAACTGATTTGTTGATGGATAGTCCTCCCATGACCTGTGAATTTTTTTGACTAGTTGCTCTCATTATTTTGTGCAATACTAGAGTCATTTGAGGACCAAAAAACCTCTATCTTATTTTTTTTCCTTTGCGATAAAAACACATTCAGGCCTGCTCATTGCTTCTTTAATAGAGCTCACTGATGACTTAAGGTCAAAACCAAATATTTCAATCTGTTTGACGCAGTGGGTTAATCAGTGGCAGCTTGTTCATATGTATAGGCATATCTGGGTGGATTTCTTTGGTGTTAACCACTGTTACACTGACTCATTACCCAATTTATTTCAGGTACCAGTCCTGGACTTGTTCCCACTTGGGTGTGGCTGTTCAGTGCTTTTACCACCTTTTGTGCTTATGCTTTAGGTAAGGTACAATGAAACAATTTACACATCTGATGTCTTCATATAGTTTTATCTACTAGTTCATTAGTGGTCAGCACTATCAAGATGAAGAGGATAGTGGATAGATTATTGATTGCTCTCCAAAACAGTTGAGATAGGGAAAAAAACCCAAACCCACAACAACAAACAGCCATAAGGCTTAAGAAAAGGCACAATTTTTCATTATATATTAGAGGTTCTATGACTGTTGCTCTTATCTCTTTTGAAAGTCCAAATTATTTTAGAGAAACAATGGAAATCATTATATAACAGGAGTTATTGCTGCTTGGTTTCATAAAAATCTTAGTCCCACAGCAATGATGTTCTGAGAAGCTCCCTGACACCTGCATTAGCAGAAGGTGCTTCAAGGACAGCAAAAATAAAGACAAAGCAGAGGGAAAGGAAAACGTGTGTAGTATTGTGTTTTAACCTGTATAGCACTTCAGTGCTAATGGCATGTCAGGAGAGATGGTATGAATGAAGGCCTGAGCTCCTTTTTCTTTCCTGTCAGTGTTTTTCTCCCATAACACCTATAACTCATTTTAGATTCATATTCCATTTTTACTTTTCATATCATACCATGACTGTATTTTTAGGTACACTGCATCTTGCTGTGCAGGGGTGTGAAGACATAGATCTGAACTGATGCAGATCTGAGAGTGAGATCCATGTTAGCACGGCTTTCTTGCTTTCTCTTCCCAAGCTAACTAATTCCAAACTCGTCTCTCCACAACCTAGTGCAACAGAGGTAATTTTATTGAGGGGACTCAAGGTGACATATTTACATGGACTGCACCATGCTATGTAAATTTACTCTCTCTTTTGGAACCGGTACTTATAAGGCCCTGCATTGCAAAGTGTAGCCATACATTCGTGTGCCATGCTTGAGATACCCAGGTGAGATATAAATGACTTCTAGATCTACACTGCAGCGTCGTGCAAAGACTGTGGTCCCTTTTGGTATCAGACCTGTGCATGTAAGGCCATCTTGATTAACCTGAGTATACATCCTTGTGCAGACATGTCCTTCTGCATTGTTAATGCCTTGCCATTTGTATTCAAGTGGCGAGTTTGTGCCAAGATAATTTTGTCCAGAATTTCTTTGTATTTGTACCATAAAACTCATTGAGACAACCATCCCTTGAAGCTGACTATCAGACAGATTTCTCTAACAGCTCTCTCTAATCATTATCAGAAGCAGCAGTTTCTCTTGTGAAAACCATTCTTTATGTAATTGTAGGGAATTTAATGAAGTGGCTGTTGTTTCATAAATAGGAATTACATATTGGAGCTGTTAGTGTGTGACACCCCAGAAAGCTCATTGGAAATTCAGCTTCTGAGGTTCTTAATGGAGATGTTATTTGCCAGTGAGGCCTATAGTTCCTAATGCTTGGAAGATGAGGAATGTGTTGACAGTCAAAGCTATAATGAACTGATGTATATGTAGATTTTTGTGTCTGCTGTCCAAGCCACTTCATGAAATATTTAGTCTCAGATTTAATTCTGCATGGCCAAAGTTTTCCCTTTGGAAGACTGCAGAGAGCCATAATAACTAACCAAATATGCAGCTTTAATCTCTCTCAGCTTCTTTTTAATGACACAGTTGCTCTCTCCAAATTTGCTAGCATGCTGCTCTTTTCCCCCCATTTGTTAAGGTGGTTTGGTATCTTTTCCCTTTCTGTAAAATGGAATGTTCTTTGCTGTTGTTTTGAATTCCACTATTAAAAAGTTATATAAACTTTAATAAAATTGAAGATTTATGAATCTTCATGAGACAAAATCATAATAATTCTAAAGCGGTGAAAGTGTGGGATAGCATATGTCCACCATTGAATGTACACCATTGTTGGCAGGAATGGTTTCAAACTGAAACCTAAACCAGAAAATATTTTCAGTCTCTTAAAAAGCTGGTGAAACCACATGGAAAATGTGGGTAAAGATTTGTGAAAATCCAATTTTATGTATGTGTTATACATTCCCTGTATTTTTCTCCATGTCCATTATAATTATAAGTACTGTATTTCATGACACCATTATAAGCCTTACTCTTTTTAGTAAAACATGCCTACAAAACGAAACTCACTATTTCACTGATGTACTTGTTTTAGTATCTAATGTGAATACTGTTTTGTGACAATATAAAATAATTTACGAACAGACCAATGTTCTATCATTCTCCTTAAAAAAGTGTTACCTCTATAACTGGATTCTCTCTGATTTGAGGTAGATGTTCTTTAAATATGAAAGACCATATACTGTTTAGGGATATTTACATGCCTATTTGCAAGTTAAGTTTCAGAAGCATCCTAAAATAGACTAAAGAATTTCTACATTTATAACAACACTGTTCAAGTAAACTCAAGCTTATATGCAGTTTTCTTTCAGCACTTTTCTGTAGGATGCTGACAATTCCATGGCACTGTTGATGGAGAGAGAATGAGGTTCTAGAAGGGGGCGAGCTGTATTTGAAATCCACTATGAGATCTTCAGTTTTTAGAGTTATGAGAACTTTCTCAAGAGGTTTGTGTTTGAGTGGAGGATATCTCACAGCTGTTTAGGTATTACAATAGAGAGATAGTCTAAAATTTGTACAGAATGAAATCCCATGTTTTCCTGGTTTAGATCCCTGAAGTATATTTACATTAAATAAAACTCAGAGTACTGCCAAATAATCCGGAGAAGTAGCATATGATCTATAGCAGCTGTGGAGTCTTCGTCACACTCTGCTGAGTTGTATCACTAGTCAGTTTAGAGTTACTATTGCTATCAATAGCTAATAATTGTTGGCTATAGTACCTTCCAAGTAACATTAAAATAGAAAAATTCTCCATGTTATTTTGAGAGTTGGGACAACAATAAGTAATCTGTAAGGGTTGTTCTGTGTACTTTTTCCTAAGAGGTTCATCCTGCTTATTTACACTTAAAGTAGAAAATATTTCTGTTTCTCACCAGCACAGTCTCAGAGAAGAGACTGAGGGTATGGTTTGACAATACAGCCACAGCTGCTAGATGTCCTTCCTCCTTCTCCCTGATTCACCGTCCCTCCTTTATCCCATCTCCCTTGCTTTTTTGTACCATTCACAGCACCAATTCTGTTCAGTGACCCTGAAGGAAATGTAATGTTTGCTGTCTTTCTACCAGCTGGGCAGGCTGCAGGTCCTCCCCTGTTCAGCAGCAGTGAACTCTCAGATCAACTCAAACCCTATTGTCCAACTGCATCCTCAGAGAGGGATCGAGTGCAGTGTTTGGGCATCTTTCAAGCACTTAAGTGTTAAAAGTGATCAACACATAACTCACCTTAACAGTAAGGTATTCTTGTCCCCTAAATTTTCAACTGCAAGACTCTTTAAAATACCGTATGTAGGCACACACACAAATATATTTTGTGGAATTTGCTCCCTGAGGCTGCCATGTGACTGTTAGTCATTGAGGCATTTAGCATCAGGCAACCTAAATGCCTTAGTTAATCTACCCCACAAGCAGTTTAAAGTCTCAGGGGGTCCACAACAGCAATGGATGGACAAGAAACCGTATGGACACATTTCAGTGCTTTCACTGAGAAACCTATTGCAGAGACTGACATAAAACTGTTTAAAGACCACTGGGGACAAGTAATTATAAATGTCTTTCTAAAGCTTGGTAAGGAAGGTGGCATTTAGTCTAAAAGCTGAGGACAGAAAAATTACTTGATAACTGAGGCAAATATTTTATAAGCAATGCTAACATGTTGGTATTGAAGGGACTGTTGTGCTTCAGTTTGCTGTCATCAGTGTGTTTTTCATGTATACTATATACAGCAGTAGTGAAGTGTGTGTGAAGAAAGTGACTCCTCTTGTGCTCTAATTCTTTGTTCCTTTTCCTCTCCCAATCCTTCCAGACTCCATAGATGGGAAGCATGCTCGAAGGACTCAGTCCAGTACTCCTCTGGGAGAATTATTTGACCATGGGCTGGATAGCTGGGCTACCTCCATTTTTGTGCTTTCTTTTTTTTCTGTCTGTTCCCGGGACAATGGGAAGGCTGGAGTTTCCGTATATACAATGTATATATATTTAAGCGTTGTCTTGTTTAACTTTATGTGTTCACACTGGGAGAAATATAACACAGGAGTTCTTTTTCTTCCTTGGGGATATGATATAAGCCAAGTGGTAAGTATTTATCATTCCTGTTTGGGTTTTATTTTTTTAACTATGTTAGTGTTTTCATAATATTACAGAAATAGAAAAACAGAGCTCAAGGCAAATATATTTGGCCAAGATTTTGAATGTGAAATAGCATAACCCTAAAAGTAATTTAGAAATATTTCCTGCATTTGCAAAGAAGGGACACTCTTGAGCAAATTGTCAGCATCAGAAATTCATTGCCTTGCAGGAAAAAATAGGCTTGCAGCAAGCCCAGCAGTCAGATAGTGCCCATGAGAACGTCATTTAACCGCATTTGATCTGTGGTGGTATTTGTGGTAATTATTATGCTATCTGGAGCCATGAGCAATTCTCCCACCAACACTAGGTTCTGAGGCATGATGTGAATTAGTCCAAGTAGTATTTATTAACAGTAACTATGTATTTGTACAATACCAGACATTCTCAATTGTACCACCTCTTACATCGAATGTGGTAATGGAAATAGCATTGTATCTGTAAAGCAAGCATTAACTGTTGTCAAGTGAGTTTTACCCGTGAGAAAATGTCAAAGTTATACTGTTAGAGGTTTCTTCTCCGGGAATAGCATTCAGTATTGTGAATTACGTATCAGCCCACAGCCAGTCCCCAGCTGAGGTCCTGGCTGGCTTACAGCCCTACCTTGTGGTGGATCTCTTTGGAAACATGACCAGGGCACCATGGTGAGTGGTGGCCTCAGTGCACAAATGAGTAGCAGCAGGAACAAGCTCATTACGCTACCAAGGGCCCAGCACTGGGATTTCTGGGCTGGCTTATCTATTTCTTAGGTAGCCAGGCTCTTGCAGCCTGAAGAACACAGTCCCAGTCTTCTGAGCTTCCTGTCACAGGCATGAGATGAAAGGTATGGCCAAATATACATCACTGAAAAGAAGTTTGACAAATATTCAAATATGTGTTTTAACAGAAATAGAGTATTTGAATTAATGGCTGCAGATGTATTGCTGTAAACATAATCAGAATCCAGTGGTTTGAGAACAACTCAGAGATGGTGGTCCAGCTGCGGTGCATCTGTTTTGTCCCCTAGAAATTAGGTTCTGGGAGAAGAAGTTGGCTCAGGACTACAACATTAGGCAACCAGCTGGTCTGCAAGTTTCAGGCATGTCTGCGAAAGGCTTCTTAGTGAAGTTCTTCCAGCAGAGGAGAAATAGCTGTGTTCAAACCAATTTCACTTGTTGCTCAGATGATCACTGTAGATATACATGTGAGTGTTTAGAAAGCTCTTTTGGATTGCCACAGCATCCAAACTCTATTAGTGGTTAAATATGGGAGGGGATATCTACTAGCGGAGCAGTACTGTTAACTCTGTTGGTCCCCTTTAGTGACCTCTGGCTCTGTCACTGCTTTCCCATCTGGGAACAAATAGTAATAACATTTCCCCGCCTTACAGTTTTGTGGTGAGGTTGAATTTCAGTAAAGTTTGTAAACTGCTTTGATTAACTTGTTTGCAAGGTGCTAACAAGTGCCTTTTCCTGTTCCCCTCTGATGCTGAATTGCTGTCCTGCGTGCTTGCTTTCTAGTAACTTCTGTGATGATTTGCCCACAGTCAAAATGATAAGCATATAAATGTAAGGATTTTTGGTGCTATATAGTGCAATCATCAACAGTAGTGGAAGACTGTACTATTGAAGTGTCTGTATGTCAGTTTTCCCATCTGTAAAAATTAGCTTTTGTGGTTGTGATTGCCTGTGAACAAAGCTGAGACAGGATTTGTAGATCAAGATAGTATTTTTTCCATTAGTCTAAACTACATTTCACACACACCATAAAGTACATAACATACCTTTCCCAGCTGTACTTACTAGTCTAGTTGAAGATCTTAATTCCCCTACAAACATTGCTTTGGTCTTGTTTTGTAAACCCATTTGGCAAATTTTGTATGATGTGTGCACTATTAAAGGGAGCTCTTCCTCTCCAGCTACTTGGAAGGGAGGATGCTGAGGCCATTAGCAAATGGCTGATGATGAGTAAGAAAGGTAATGTTCCCCTTGCTGGTTTCTTCCCCACCACTTCTCTGCCAGATATTCCCACAGTCACAGGGAGTGCAGAAGAACTGCTTTCAGACTGATTCCCAATGTTTAGTTTACTATTTCTTCCATGGCATTCCCAGCTGGATTGCTGCATGAATGTGCCTCTCTTCACTGTCTAATAATTTCACTGGCAATGTGATGCTATTGCCTTGGCATGTCAGACATTCAGGTGGTCTGTTCCCCCGCTTCTGCTTTTATAATTGATGGTAGCCAGGAACTTTGGACTTCAAAGCTCAGGAAATAAAGTAATTGATATAAGTGTGCAAATAGATAACTGTTGACCCTTAATGAAAGCTTAACTGGCACATAGCTTCCAGGACACTGCTGCTGAGTCAGCTCCGCTGTGTATAAACACAGACAACCCTCTCACTGGCTCTCCGTTAATTGTGGTGTAAAAAGAGCCGCTGTTCCTCATGAAAAAACACCTCATTATAAACAGAGAAATTTGTGGGACTTATACAGATCACATTTTTCTGTGACTTGATGACTCGTCAGAATTGGTAACCTAATTATGCTAGCTGGGCTGTAATTGGCACTCCAATTAGCTTTGGTTACAGCAGAGAGCCATTTATAGGAAACCGAGGTGTGTAAACTTGAAAAATGTCTGTGATGTGTCTGAGATGCTTGGTCAGAGGGCTGCTATGTCTGTGGATCCAGAATCGAGGAGGAGGCATCTGCAGCAGTGAAAACTCTTCCCATCTCTCCTCCCTCCAGCACAAGGAGTTATCTCCTGCTGACTCCTCCACCATAGCATCTAGACAATTTTTGTACACTTTCAAGTAAGCACAAAACTACAAAAGATATGGGCTGAAGAGAAGGCTAAAAAAGAAACCCTTGCTACATCCTGTGAGAAATCTTGTCACAAGCCCAACCAAAGCAATCTAAAGCCTACAAATTAAGTTTCTTGGAGAAAAAAAAAAAGACAAAGCTTTCCTGAGAAAGGCTGCCTGCCATATGTTAATTTTCACAGATGTCCTCTGGGTTGTTTAAATATCCATTTTTCTCCTGAAAACTTTAATATTCCCCTAATGAAGTACTCCCCTAATCCTGCTGTTGCTTTCATAAGCCACTACAGTTGAGTTCATAGTAGAGGAAAAAAATATTCATTTTTCCTTAATATGTTGTAGGGATACCTCTGCTTACATCTGTGCTGCCTTAAGCATAACAGAGAAGTACCCTTTATATTCTTAAATAAAAGTTAAAAGTGAAAAGAAGAGCTATGTGAGAGCTAGAGTGGCCCAGCTCCTTCACCTCAGTCTCCCCAGCCAAAAAGGCAAGCTGGAAAAAGCACAAAAACCACAAAGTACCAAGTGTGAAAAGCAACAGGCAGCTCTCTGGCCCTGCCCTAGCCCTGTAAGGAGGGGATAACCAGAAATCCTATATACAGTCCTGCCTGCAAGCATGGATGCTTGCACCATAAGCCCCAGGTTTTTTGTTTGAGATGCTTTCCCAGCTGGTTCTGCCCAATGGCTTTGAATGGTCCCATCTGAGCCCTCAGAGAGAGTACACTGTCTGCCTTGAAACTCTGAATAAATGGAGTATATGGCACAGGTAGCAACTGAAACATTGTAGAAATTACTTTACTCCTTCCTTTTAGTCAAAACAGGGGAAGGGGTTGTTTGGGTTTTTTTTAAATGCCATATACCAGTTTTTCTTTTGAGAAGCAGTTTTACAAACTCATGCTGAAATATGTTTCATATGACCTTTTCCTGGGCAGTACTGTAGCGGCCAGTTTTTCAGGAACTGGCAGGGAAATCCTAAGCAATGCAAGTACAGATCACGTCTTTAAAAAACCTCTGTCTCTTCTGAAGGGGCAAAAAAAAGTCTCTATTAAAAAGAAAAATTAAGACACAACTGTGCCGTTCTTTGGTCATGTTATCACGATTCAGAATCTTTTTTATTTTAGTTAAGATATTAACTTCAGGAGTTTTTCTGAATTGAAGTGGCTGTGGAAAGCATAGCTTCTCTTGTGAAGAAATAATATTGGTTATTATTTAGTTCCAAAGGCAGGAGTGCACTGGAACTGAAATAAAAGAACGGGCAGCAGTGTGGATGTGGTGCTGGCCAGGCTGTGGAGTCTGATCCAGCTGCCTCCTGGCACAGCTGAAAACCGAACTCGATGCTTGATTGCCTGAGGAAAACCTCATGGTGTGTCCATATGAAACTTAAACAGAAGAACCTGCGGTGCACAGGCTCCTCCTGCAGCGGATGCTTCATTCTTAACCTCTCGATTTTGATTCTACTCAAACCTTTTTTGTGGTTAATTTATCTGCCACGTTTACCTATCACATACTGCATGTCTAAATGCAATATGACCTTTTAAAGACATATAAAAGCTATTTTTATAGGCAAATTTTTCCACCTTTATTTATTGAAAGAAAAATTACTTAGAAAAAAAAATAAAATGCGTAAATTACACATCATGCTAAAGCTAACTCCTGTTGAAATAACTTGTAGGGAATCATTAGTTCTTACTTTTTTAGGCAAGTGTCACATTTATTTTCAGAGGAAAGATGTAACCTTCTATTTTAAAGGACTTTGCTCTCTAGATGTTCAGTTTGAGCACTGTGTTCATGGAAAATATTTCAACACATGAACAATTAATGCTATTGGAATATGCTAGTGAAAATGAATATCACAGTAAAATTAATGTATTTTTTTGTGGAATCATAAAGAATTTAAAAGCATAGTCAGGATATTTTTTTTAAAAGATGAGAATATGTTTGATTTTTTTTTTCCGTGTAGTACATCATACAGCATACTCAATGCACCTGTGTGTAAACAGAAATAGTAAATCAGCAGGGAGAAAAAAAATGAATGTACACACACACACAAAACCTACTTACACTTGCAGTAATGAAAAGACATGAATGAGCTGGTGATTTTTTAAAAATCAAGTGTTTTAATGAACAGTTAAAATGCTAGAAGCCAGGAAAATTTGGAGGACTTATACTGCCTTCTGGTTATATAGGATTTTCCCAGTGCCACATTAAAGAAAATATATTCTCATTTTACAGAGGGACAAATGTGACTACATTGCTGTGATTTACAAAATTGTGACAAGATAAGGAGCCACTGCTCAGAAGACAGCTGTCCTGCTGTTCAGCCATATCAAAGGGCCTACAAATTAACGCCATATATATCCAGATTTTTGTCTACCTAAGTACTCCTCCTCCTCATAGATAAGGCCTTGGCAAGCCAAAAATTTTCCTAGTCAGATGCTGCAGTGAGTTGGAATCCAAGATTGTATACATCTGACAATAGCTTGCTATATAGTCCTTAGTTGTGATATTTAATTTGGACTTCTCAATTTATAAAAGGTTGCAATTAACTTTACTTACTAAAGACTGCATTTCTGTCTGAAAAGTACTAAAGCTGATTGGTGCCAGAGAGATGAGTAAAAAACCTGCCCATCTTTTCTTAAGTAGAATTATTCAGCTGCACTTAGGAACACTGCTTCACCATTACTTATTTATTTATTTATTTGTTTATTTTACGAGCAGTCCCTTTAAAAACAGTTTATAGAGGTGATTAACATGCTTAGCTTTTGCCTGATAATTTTGACAGTCTTCTTTTTTTGCTAATATAGCATAGATCAAAGGACACAGGCATTTTCTTATCCTTCAGCTTTCTAAAGGAGGTCTTTGAAACTGCCTCAGTGAAGTTTAAGTTACAAGTCCTTAAAAATCAACATACCAAAATTTGAAGCCAAGGAGTGTTTTTTCATACACTACATCTGTTAAGTAAGAGGCAATCTCAACCTGTGAGTGCTGTCCCACCAAATCCCAGGGCAGGGGGTTGCACTGATGCTCCCGTTCTAGAAGTATGCTGACATCTGACAGTGCTACTCAGGACTGCACTGCCAAAAGCATTGACCATAATAACAGATAATACTGGAGTCCCTCTTTCATCACTTGCCAAAAATGTTTGTTCAGAATTCAACATGTGAGGGTAAATTCAGACTCCATCAAAGCCAGATGGAGTTTTCCCATTAACTTTGATGGGGCTGGGAGTCCGCCCATTATGTCTTATGGATAACATAATGCAATTTCTTCAGAAAGCCAAATGTTAGCTCTGTTGTAGTCCATTGCAAAACCCTTCATTTAGACCAAAATTTGACTCTCTTTTCAGTGGCCCAAGACTTAACTTTTGTACTAGTGCCTTCTTTTCTCCATTGCAGGTCTGTTGTGCTGCTGCTTCTTGCAGAGGCAATTCAGACATCCAATTCTGCAATGTCCCATTCAAGCAAAACTCTTTAATAAAAAGTTACATACTGATAGGACAAGAACCTTGAATTTAAATTGGAGGAGTAAGTGAAGTCAAATATAGTGATATCGAGGTGTAATGAGGAGTTTAATAGACATCAGTGTTCTGCTGTTCATCTGTGATCTTAAACAGCCTGTTACCTAGATAAAAAAAGATTTATCTTTAAAAAAAGTTTATCTTTAAATTAAAGCAATTGATTTAAATGAGAAGACTGGTGGACTTGGTAGTGTTAGGTTTACAGCTGGACTTGATGATCTTAAAGGTCTTTTCCAACCTGAATTATTCTATGATTCTATGAAATGGGTTTGTTGAAGTAAAAAATGAATTAAAAACGCAGTGGTAAGCTGTAATAGTAAAACATTAGCATTTTAAAAAAACTAAATGAAAAATAGTCAAATTTATCATACAAGTAAAGCTGGAAAATATTTGTCATCTTGGAGGAAGGAGGTGTATTGAACGGAAAAAAAAGTTACTGAATGTTACCTGGGAATAGATATACGAATATGCAGTCTTTCAAATAGCATTATCATTAACATCGTGCTTGTAATTTAGACCTAAAGTAAATCTTTGCAATTAATTCTTAATCCAAGTCTAGAATAGTTCAGGAGGTTGAGACATGGAGCATGAAACATATAGCCCTTTGTGAGTCCTATAGTAAAAACTAAACAGCTGAGAACAAAATAGCCTGGAGAAAGAGTGGGGCAGCAGTGGTGGGGCAGGATTTGCACCATCTGGGTGCTGGCAGCAGAAGGGGCTGCCAGGGGTGGGTGGCCTGGGCTAAGCCAGGGAATGGGTTTCAAGGGAGAGCAGGGTCCCTTGAGTAGGTGGGACCAAGGGTTTGGGAACAGCTGTATCACATTGAGTACTGCATTTGCATGGTGCACACCTAAAATGGTAAAACTTCATCAGTTTGCTCCAGAAATTGTAGGCAATGCTGCTACAGGTGATAAAATGGATGTGAAAGGTATTGCTGTAGGAGCTATAGGGTTCTGTTGCTTTAAGGTTTGTGGCCTCAGCTGCATCACAAAATGAATTCTGAGGAGAGAGTAGAAACTGCATTTGCCTCTCTACTGAAACTGGTGGCACTTCAGTGAGTGATTCATGGGTCATGTATGAGTCTTTTCACTCCTAATGACGTTTGACTACATGTTTCTTTTTGTGTCCCATAATTATGTTATCTGCCAAACAAATTACAAATCAGGGAAGATTTCAGCTCCCTCCCCTCCTTTTTATTTCTTTGCATTCAATTGAGGTTTTTTACTATTTCAGGTGAGCTTATATTTTTTTCTGCCTCTCAGTTATTCTGATATGATCAGTTCAGGGGCTTGAGCTGCAAAAATAAGCACATTGCTAATTTGAAAGTCTGTATGCAAATACAAGAAAGTGCATTTGCAGGGGTAGACCGGGTATTAAGAAGGGATTTAGAAATCAGGTGTTTTGAAAAGGTGGGTCAGTAATACCACATGCAAACAGATGCCACATTAGCAAGGAAATTGCTTGCTTACTGTATTTCATATATTTAAAATAATTTTGTTGGTGACCCTGGAAGCTGCTTCACTGCTTAGAAGGAATTATTTTGGGATGGCAGCATAAGGTCCTGTAAAGTGGAGACAGGAGGAAAATAGCAGATTTTATTACTTTTGCATTTGTACTAAGACGATAAGTAAAATTCTGTGCCTTTAGAAGTAAAAGATTGAAAACACTTTATCCTTTTTCTATAGGTATTAATTGCAGCATATCTGCTCACTGGTGTTGTTGGTGTGGAAGTCTGGCAGAAGCCTTTCCTGTTTGGTTATTATATCACAGACGCATTAGTAATCTTGCTTATAGGTAAGTGTCCAGGTTCATGGAAAACTGTACTGGTTTCTAATTATTTTGATTGGATATTTCTTATATTTCCCTTCATAATTTTTTTGTATGTGTTGACTAGTCCAAAAATACATGAATAGAGCTGATTAAAAGGGCTAATATTAGAAAAAATTTTAGAAGTAAATAATTTTAGAAATATTTTTCCCCACTGTATGACTATCTGTTGCACATAAATAATATAGAAAATGTTCCTTATCTGCATGTGCAGATCAGTGCTGTGTGCTGCCTGGCTCACAAAGTCTCAGGAACTCCTCATGTCACTTGGGTAAAATGTTGCTCACATTTACATGTATTATAAGTTTAGTGTTTTGGCCTGCAGCACACTATGCTCCAAAACATTACAGATAGAAGGAATAAAGGCATTATTTAAATAATCTGAGGAGGCATAACTGTAAATCTTTAAAAAAGCCAGGTGGTTTCTGAGCTCTACTTTAGAGTTACTTTCTGAACAGAACTGATACATTTTTCATACACAGCAGTAGCCGAGTTGCTCATTATTTGATACTGTCAGTGTAGTTTGAAATAAACATTGAACATTTTTCAGCTGCTATGGCTAGACTGAGAACAAGAGCAGTTACATTTTAATGAGTTGAAAACTTAGTTAAAAATGTGTGTATGCGATATGTGTTGTTTGGAATAAATTGTTGAAGAAATTAGGATATAAATCTTAGGGATTTTTCATGACCATACAACTTATGAGAAGAGGGCACCAAAAAAGTGTTTTGGCACAGACATTTTAGACATAGGGTCCAAGAAACATCTGTAGTCCTTGAGCCATATGGAGGGCTTGGATATAGGTGCTCACCCAATGCTGACTCTTAACTAGGAGCTGTTGGAGTATTTTGGAGGGGATTTTTTAATCTGCTACATTGCCAAGTGCTCTCACCACCCTTTTCCATGGAGAGGTTTTCAGCAGGTGCCATCTCCAGCCTCAGTCATGCTTCCCAGAGTTCCCAGATTGGAAAGGACCCTGCGTTCAGGTTCTAATGAGCAGGGTGTAGAAGGACATGGTTTTGGCAGTCCTCTGTGCTTTACCCAGAGTATAAAACTGACTGTGTGTGATCAAGATTGTACAGTCTTTTTTTGTCATTTATGTTAGCCCTGTTTTGTGCACTTGGAGGAAAAGAGAGAAAGAAAAGAAAGAAAGAAAGAAAGAAAGAAAGAAAGAAAGAAAGAAAGAAAGAGAAAGGAAGGAAGGAAGGAAGGAAGGAAGGAAGGAAGGGGAAAAATATAGTGCTTGCATTTTCGGTAGTCAACGAATGATTCCGGTTGCCGGAAGTGTAGCTACAAAATGCCCTCTGGTGGCTGGCAGGGCATTGAGGGATAAGGAGTGATTTGTGCTCTCCAAGGAGCACCACAAATCTGGGAGAGGTGTATGCTGTCTCCCGCAGAAGCAGCAAGTTAGACCTGCGTTGGGGTTAGGTCCAACCAGCATGGGCCAGTCCATTAAACACGCTCAATGATTCCGGTTGCCGGAAGTGTAGCTACAAAATGCCCTCTGGTGGCTGGCAGGGCATTGAGGGATAAGGAGTGATTTGTGCTCTCCAAGGAGCACCACAAATCTGGGAGAGGTGTATGCTGTCTCCCGCAGAAGCAGCAAGTTAGACCTGCGTTGGGGTTAGGTCCAACCAGCATGGGCCAGTCCATTAAACACGCTCTTCCTGTGCTACACACATCGCTGCTTTTGTTCCTGTCATGAAGGCACAGGACAGCCTGTTCTGGGAGTGCACTTGTGGCTTCCCTTGTGCTTGGGAAGCCATGGATGAAGGTTTAATTCAAACTGTTCAACAACATTAGGTCGGTTTCTGGTAGGGAAGCATATAAATGTCATCAAATCTGCAGAAGTGAGCATCCTTTTTCATACACTACAAAAACCAGCTGCAAAGCAAGGTTTGATGGACTATTCCATTAGTGTTAGAAAGAAGCACTGCTTCTGTCTCATACAGTACACTTGCATGAATGGAGCTGTGAGCAGAGAATTGAGTATTTCTTCCATCATTGTCCCAAGCAGAGTAGGTGTAAGTAAAAGGTAAAACATTTATTTAAAAACATTATCTCTCACACACTGTCTGCAATGCCATTAACAGGCAACATTTGCAGCTTCATTATAGTTAAATATGGATTTAAAATACTCAAGAAATTATCTTGGTTGACTCTATATTACAAAATTATCACAGTGCTTACTAAATCTCCTAAAACCAGACATTAAATATTAAAAAGTTAAAATATTAAAAAATTAAATATTGTTCCACTGAGGATCACGCTGATCCAGAAAGCAGTGCCATTTCACCACAGGTTTGAATCTCAGCTCAGCAACAGTGATTAAAGTGGTTATCGCTGGATAACCTGTGTGCAGTGACTATGGGTATTTAAAGTTTCTAGAAGCTTGCAGTAAATTGCAGGACCCCACTGTGAATGAAGAAAAAGTATCAGTCTAACCTACACCAGGGGCTGAGCCGCCAGGAAGATGAAATTATTCTCTCCCTTAGAGAGTATGCAGCAAGTGTGTCTTGCTCAACCAGAACCATTTATATCAGAGAGGCCGCTCTCCGGCATGCTCAGCTAAATGCCTTTGTGGCTAGTTAAAAACCAAAGCGATGTAGTGGGCCTCTGATGCTTTTTACGAGTTAGTTTCCCAGGACCCCACGAGGAGCCATTAAACCATAACTGTCTGTCCTTAACCATCTGATGGCATTTAGTAGTCACTTGTGGTCCTAACAACGGACCTGTAGCTGCTCCACCAATATTTGGCAGAGGTTTTGCATGTCACTTCATGCTTTTACTGTTCTGTACACAACAGGAGTTCAACTGCTAAGCCATCGCTTCTCCAAGAACAGCTGGGCTTTAGCTAGTACCTTCTGTAGCGGGAGGAAATCCAAATGAGATGCACAGGAATGGAGTTTTTCTGATGTCTTTCCTGGAGTTTCTGGGAAGAAAAAAAAAGAATAGCCCACGTATAACCTAAGGATGAACTCTGCAAAAGCACCTCCTCAGAGGAAGCTGTGGTTTCACCAGGTGACACTCACTCACTGAAAAGAATGGAATTTTTATCAGGTGCCAGAACACACAAAGATATACATAAAAGTGGAGCAGTACTGGTGTTTAGATTAGATGTTTTAGAAAAGCCTCCCAAGAGAGAGCTTTATGTATGTCCCTGGGAACTGTCTAGCACACTGTGAACACCTGTAGGACAGCCACGTCTCGGGCTGCTGAGCAGTGACCTTGGAGGACTTCCCTGTGAAGCACAGAAACTTCTGCATGGTATTTTATGGGAATTTTTCAGCCACCCTGCAAACAGAAACCCATGATTTTCACAGGCAGTGAATGCAGTTCCAAAACACACACCTAGCTGGACACCAAACAAATGGAGAAGGCCATTCTCCTGTTTCCAGGTTGTCTTGTCCCGGCTGCTAGGCAGAAATGCGTTTTCTCTCCTAGCAGGAAAGCAGCCAGACCCTTTTCTAAAGCTATGAGCCTGTGTGCTCAGCTGGAACTAATTACTTCTGCTGTCGGCAAGGCTCCTGCGGATGACACTCCAAAAGCTCTCTGGGATTTAACCACAATTGTCCCAGAGCATTATCTGGCTAACTAGGGTCCCTTCAAAGGGCAGCGCTGGGGTGAGAGCTATCATTTATTTTTGCCCCTTCAGGGCATCCTGAATGCCTAGCATTCCCTGTCACTGTGCTATCAGGTTGAGAGCAATATAAAATATTTACAATAGGCATTTTAAAACAGTTGGTTCCCCACATAAAGTCTAGTACCACAAATGATGCTATAGACTCCATGAGAAGATTTCCAGTGACAGGTAAACATCAGTAGTTCAGGGAACAGCATTACTAACTGATGATGGTTTCTGTCTCACATTGGAATTAAATTACCTGTAATAGATGCATGTTCTGAACAAAGCATTTCCCATTCTTGGAACATTCTTACTTGCTCTCTGTGAGACAGATTTTTATAATGTCTAATAAAATTTGAGTTCAGGCTGCAGTCCTCTCCTCACTGGAGACATTTATATGTCTGTTTTCCTCTACCTGACTATTCATTTCCATTCAACATACTGGAAATTTGTTTCAGTCTATTAAATTTGTTCAGAATTGACCAGAGGGCTCAGAAGTTATGGTGGGATGCACACAAACAAGGAAAATGTTATCATCAGTGTTGATTTCTTAGCCAGGTTGTAAAAATTACTTATAGATGCACAGCATTCCCACTCCTCCTCAGTATTAATTGCAACCATAAGAATAGGTTTTGTGGTTAAAGGACCACTAAAGCATGGAGTGGGTATGTTGTATTTCATCAGTGCCTGGCACCTGGGGCAGACAGTTCTGTACTCCAGACATGGCAGCACATTTGAGTCCACTCTATCTGGTCAACTGCGCCCAGATCTGACTACTGAAGCCTGTGGCAAAGCTGAGACAAATTTTCAAAGTGCAGGTTTGAACATGAGAAGTGAATGGAGTACTAACAGCTGTCAGAGATCTGAAACTTGAACTTTCTTTTAGAGGTGAAGCCAGAGCATTCAGAATTTTTTCCTACAATGTGTATTGGATTGGGTTCTGTGCTGACTTTTGCAAAGTGTGTGTTCCTTGAGGTTCACTCCTTCTCTGAGCTACTTAAGTCTATAAAACATGGAGCAAATAACATGAATGAAAACATAAGAGCAGCAGCAGACTAACGATGAGACCAAGCCGCAGCATTTGAAATATGCCAAGTATTCAAATTCTGTCATAGTGGGAAAGCAGTTACACATCTAAAACAGTGCCTTCTCCTTACACTGTGTCCTATGTCCTATACCCTAGGTATCAAAGGAGGACACAGAATTCTTTGCAGTGGTTAATTATACAGCAGCCTGCCCTTCTTTCAGTGTCAGAAAATGTTTAGGAGGCCATGGTCGAATTATAAATTGTTTCTGCCTCATACAGATATGTCATTCTGTAGTGATTTCCTATAGTTTCCAT